GATTATATATTGATAAGGAATTCTACACCAAAGATGTTGGCTGTCTTGGAGCTTCCGATGTTACATTTTTGTTCAGGGGTTGTAACCCGGCAAACATGACAAGAGTGGATACGAAAAAACAGTCTATTCTGATTAAGAACGGCATTTTTGGGTGATTAACACAGCAAATCTTGATGCAAATTCAACTTTTTCCTTACATTTCGTATTTGTATAATTTTAGCTAATTCATGTAACATCTTTTTGAAAATGATTTACACTGCCAATAATTCCAGAAATACCAATGTAATCTCAATCTTCAAAATCGATATTTCTTGCTAGTCATTTTGATACACATAACTAAAGGAATAATAGAAGTGGGTTGACCTCGTCATAACTTGGTCTTATTGACAGGGCGACTTAGTAGAACTCACCTAATCAGAATTACTCTGTCAGAGTAGTTAGCTTAATTCCCAGCATCAGACAGTGGACTTTGTACGTTTCGCTGGCATCATCAGTGAGTGCTGCCATTCTCCGCACCAAGCTACGAACTCGTCAAAGAGACAAGTGAAGTCAATACCTTGACAACCGTTCTGCCGAAAACTGTTACACTATCACTTCTCTTTCTGTTATTGTCTATCTATCCACTCTTTACACTCTTATCCCACTGCCGCCCTATCACAACTTCTCACGGAGAATGGCAAAACTCACTGATGATGCCGACTACGATGCCGGCGAAACGTCTGAGAATGTATCAAGTCCACTGTCAGATGATGGGAATCATGACAACTACTATGGCAGACGACTTAGGACTCGGTGCGTTCTACATAGTCTCCCTGAACACAAGACCAAGTTACGACAACGAGGTCAACCCATTTCTACATATATGAGACCTCGCCACCCCCAATGGAAGTCGAACTATGACAGTGCAGTGTGTGTTCTCGACACGTTAACCATTACGCTGCATTGCAAAGAGTGCCCTTGGGTCACAGGGAAAATGTAAATTTCAAGAAAGGCCAGGCATTTTCCCATATCACATTCTTTGGTGGGATTGTCGATGAAGCAAAGTTATCTTTAATATAACAATCTACTACATACATCTCATATAACTGATTTACTGGTGGTCATGAAACTCTGCTTATACACAGACCAAGGTCAAAATTGCTGCCAATCCCGGATGAGAACAACTTTTGGGAATGTAAGGCTCTGTAAAGTTCATTGTGGGAAAATTAAACTGCCACTTCTTAATCACCTTAAACGAATTAGTATGAATACATCTCATATATATGAACAGCATGTTTCCACCAAAATCTATAAAGATTGCCTTGGTCGCAGCATCTACATGACTGTTCAAGTAAAGCCAACCGACAGTCGGCCAAGAGGAATCTGCCCTTATCTTCAGACGGGATCACACACACACAAACACACACACACGCACACTTTTAGTGGAAATAGTAGTTAGTTCACCCACTTTGTGGATAGACCAAATTGAATACTCTTCTGTTCAATGACATATTTTTTTAATGAGGATCCCAGACACTAACCAGAATTGTACTACAGCTAGGATACCTCTGGCTGCGTAGTGTAGGTGAAACGGAAAAAACTGTGTCTATCCCCTTTGTTTGCCTGTGACTCACCTGCACTCTGGACTCAGTGAGGCCGATTCTCAGAGCCAGCTCTTCACGCATGAAGATGTCCGGATAGTGAGTCTTCGAGAAGGCTCGTTCAAGCTCGTTTAGCTGTCCGGGTGTGAATCGCGTTCGATGACGTTTCTGTTTGGCCGAGGCTGCTGCTGCCGCCGCAGCCGCTGCTGCCGCTGCCACCATGACAGCGGTCGAAGTGACATTGGCCGACTGGTGAAAGTGATGATGCGTTGTCTGCTGTTGTTGGTGTTGCTGTGCTGAATCTGCTGATGACAGTTTTTGCTGTTGTTGTTGTTGCTGCTGGAGTTGCTGTTGCTGTTGTTGGTGCTGATGTTGTTGTTGATGATGCTGATGCTGTTGAAGATGGTGTTCTGGCTGGTGATGTTGCCTCAGCTCGGTGGCCAACTGTGCTGGCTGGTGGTGATGCTGGACGTGGGGGGGATGCAAGTGTTGCTGACTCTGGGGTTGTATGGACGGATGGAGAAGCCCAAGCCCGAGTGACTGTGACAAGGGAGTCTGGGACGCAAGAATGTGTGAATGCTGAGGCTGCGAATGGTTTTGACCGGTCGACTGTTCAGCGACCTGATCAGTACCAGCGGAAACGGAGATAGAGGGGATAAAAAGCCCAGTTGACGGTATGGCTATGGTTAGCGGCGGGGTTGGATGCTTTGTTGGCGACTGAGAAGTTGTTTGATCGGCAAGAAATCGGTTTTTCGCCAGTAAACTGGCTGTCGATGAGGAGAGATCAATGGAGGTCGTGGAGACGGAGCAAATCGGCTCATATCTCGCAGGACCTTTGCTGCCTCGCATTTCTTCGTCAACCCCTTCCGCTTCATTGTCCACTTCTAGGCTCTCCTCACATTCCTCCTCCTCCTCTTCATCATCATCCTCCTCTTCATCATCATCTTCCTCCTCATCTTCCTCGTCTTCCTCCTCTTCATCCTCCTCTGACTCCATCACCTCCTCTCCTCCGTTTTCTCTGGCAGTTCCCGCATCCTCCGGTTGCCTCTGACTTCTGTTCAATCGTCTTCTAGAGTCTGATCGAGAGCAGATCATCTCGTCGACATAATCGCTGCCCATCTGACCGCTGGACAGACAGGAGAAATCTTGACTGTCGGCCGGGCGGGAGACTAGTCTTGTGTTGGGCATTGTTAGCTCTTCTCCATGCTCCCGTCGGTCATTGCAGTGCGGCTCCAATGAAGGCTGAAAAATTATACGGAAATTATGGTTGCATCAACCAACATGTCGTCATCTAACAAAGACATTCTTGTTTACAGACAGGTCGTGATCAATTAGTGTACTTCGTTCCGAGAAAAAAGAGTCATGTAGATGGTTCCATCCACTGAAAAGACCTAATTATAATGTCAAAATAATACAATTATTTATCAATTTCCAATTGTATTCTATTAGCAAAGGATTAGCAAAAGGTAATAAAAGCCAGCCTACACCTTCAGCGGGATTCGAACCGTC